AGTCCATGAAAGTCCATTTGTCATTAAAGTATGTTGATTGTTAAAGTGCTATACGATACTTTGTTGCTTCTGCTGCAGCAGACTTAACATAGTTATCCCTCTGGAAATTCTTACATAGAAAGCGCATTTATCATGGCTGAAACAGAGATTTTGCAATCTAATGCCTTCCTTTCCCCTTTCACCCAATCATTTTCATAGTGGTTGACAGTGCCTCTGGTTCCACAATCAAGTTGTCATGGGGAAGCTTGCACACTGGAAAGTAATGCATTTGAAAAAACCAAAAAATCACCACATGGCATAATCAGCGATAACAAGGTGCAAGACCAGGGTTCTTTTCAGTGCCTCTGCAATTTCAGCAGATTTCTTTCTCTCTAGTCATCATAAGCCAGTGAAGTGATGATTATCCTGATGCTTGTCAGTCTGGTAGGGTCTGACTTGTGACATTCATGTCTTTTTATTCCATACCTAAATGGTATGAAATATTCATCAAGGACGAGAGAGTGAGAGAACGAGAGAGAGAGAGAGAGAGAGAGAGAGAGAGAGAGTTTTAGAAGCAAACATATGGCTTAAAAGGTGTAAAGTCTTGTTGATGGCTTTCTTGATGGTCAGCCAGTCTTTGTTTGCTTAACGACTTGGCCATTATTGGGCTCTGCTGGACATGGGAAGCTGAGTCCCACTATTAAGAGCGTGCCCCCCAGTTTAACTCTCCAAGTATTGATTACATTCTAACACTTACTAAACCTAGAAATTATGGGTGCCTGACACTCAAATACTCTGGTACCCAAAACTCATTACAGTATATTAGGGCTGCAAAGCAGCTCTACACTCTTCAGTCATTGGTGACTGAAGTGGGAAGACATGGTCTCTGGGAAATTTGTACAGTGGTACCTCGGGTGAAGAACTTAATTCATTCTGGAGGTCCATTCTTAACCTGAAACTGTTCTTAACCTGAGGTACCACTTTAGCTAATGGGGCCTCCCACTGCCACCGCTGCACAATTTCTGTTCTCATCCTGAGAACACTGTATATCAGTTCTAACAACCCATCTGCTGTTGTTTTCTCAGTGCCCAAATGATGTCTTTCCATCTGAAGCCTTCAATTCTTCCCTGGCTCCTGTCACCCACTCCAGCCCTTGATTAAAATTGTGCTGCTGTGACTTGACTTCACAGATCTCTCCCCCCCCCTCTCTCTCACACACACACAGCATTTCCCTAAAGAACACCAATCAGGAAACTGGATTACAACAGAGGGCTACAATACAGGGTTGTCAGATCCTACTTTAATTCTCCCCTCCCGCATCCCAAATAAGTTTAACAACAGTGTACTGCTTTTTAGGGCTGGTATAACTCACCCTATTTCAGCCACAGACATGCCCCCTGCAATATGGGCATAATAACGAGGGGCTATCTACACTAGCAGGATATCTTTTTTAACGTTGACAAACTTGGGGGGGGATTTCTTGGCATGAAATAAGACTTGAATTTTAAAAATATTTATCATGAATCTCTGTCTCTGCTGCTACTTTTTGCATATGCACCATTTTATATAAACATCATGCACTTGTACACAATTGTGCTTTCTCTTGGATGATTTCCCTTTGTGCTTTTGTGTTGCTTTCACTAATCTAAGAGTCATTCAGATTTAAAGCCACCCCTCATCTGTGAAATTGTATCGTACTTTTATTCAGGTCCCATTCCCCCGCCCTGCCATGGTTTGCATCAAGAACTGAGGCTGTCATGTGTACCACAATCAATGAAATTGTCATACTAATTCAAATTCGCTTGTCTGAAAACTGGATTAGCCTATATATCTGCCTATAAGGGGAAAGTGTCAGAGCTGCTAGGCAGATCTAAAAATAGGAGACGTCACGGTCCGTATTGATCTGTTTGCAGAGAGCAGCGTTCCAAGTCAGGTGTTTCATAGGCTAGGTTATGTTTGGAGATGCAAAAATAATGACATGTTTAGAATCCTTTATGGGAAAGAGCTTAAATATGAGACAGCTGTCAAGGTAGGTCAAAATACAGGGCAAACAATCATAGCTAGGGCCCTTTAATTGCTAGCTTGGGATGTGCAGCTGACAGCTTCAGAATATTAGTGGCAATTTAGAACTGCTCAAAACTGCTTTGTAGCTTTTCAAAGGTGTGTTTCTCTTGAAACAGCTGTCTTGGTTACATGGCATTTTAAAAAGTGCACCTTTTCACAGTTACATGAGATCAGATGTGAGTTTCAGGTCCACCACGGCAGAAATACTTAACACAATGCTGTGTTCTGATGGAGTAACCCACGAGTGTTGTTGCTGTGCTCTCTCCATTTGTTTTGGTAGAATCTTGCAACCCATAATAGAAAAGAATGCCGACTGGAGACTGCACTGCAGAAATACTAGGTGAAATGTTCACGGTTGCTACTCAAGCATTGTGGGTAACATAGAAACCCTTGCAATTATAAAAATGTCAGCTAGAATAATAGAGGTTATTAGGGAAAGTGATGGGAAAATATTGGAAAACTCTAATAATATTCCCACATAAATCAATGTTCTTGGACACCTCCTTTTGAAAGGAATATCACATAGCTGAAGTGGGTAGGAGGCAGCATGATTCTGAATTCCAGTTGTTGGAAACTGCAGGAGAGAGTTGTTGTGTCCAGTTTCATGAAAATTGGCCTTCTATGCTCACTTGTATTTGAAGTAGTGGCTATCAAGGGGAAATCAAAGGTAACGTCAAACATTTTTCCTATGTGGAATCCACTTCCATCTATGGAAAATGATATGCTGCATGAGTGGAAGCAAAAAAATAAGCCTCCCCTCCTCTATAATTAGGCTGCTCCATACCTATAACTGGTTCCTGGAAAATGAGATATGTAGCTGCCTGCTATGTATTATTAGGTGCACATTGAGTTTGAGCCCCTGAAGGCTTACTTTGAATTGAAGGAACACGGGTGGCGCTGTGGGTTAAACCACAGAGCCTAGGACTTGCCGATCAGAAGGTCGGCGGTTCGAATCCCCGCGACAGGGTGAACTCCCGTTGCTCGGTCCCTGCTCCTGCCAACCTAGCAGTTCGAAAACACCTCAAAGTGCAAGTAGATAAATAGGTACCGCTCCAGCGGGAAGGTAAACGGCATTTCCGTGCGCTGCTCTGGTTCACCAGAAGCGGCTTAGTCATGCTGGCCACATGACTAGGAAGCTGTACGCCGGCTCCCTCGGCCAATAAAGCGAGATGAGCGCCGCAACCCCAGAGTCGGTCATGACTGGACCCAAATGGTCAGGGGTCCCTTTACCTTTAGCTCACAGCTCAGGCTTTTAACCACTACATGAGTTTTTAAAAGACCACCAAAACCTAAATTCTGTCTTGACCTAAGAAAAAACAGCAGCTTTGCATAAATCTCGGATGGAAATTATATTACTGCTGCCTCCTTTTCAGCAGCATTTAATCACAGCAAAAGTTTGATTAACTGAGAGGAGCTACTGAAAGGAAGTCTAACCCATCCTATTTATTTTGCTGCTGATAGATGCCAGCTGCAAGGCTGAGTGGGTTGGATATTTAAAAGGTATAATAATAATTTTAATAATTTTGAATGGTGGAGATGGAACCCTATCTGCGTCCCATTTGTAAGCAGTGAATCATGTCAAGGTAGCAAACCTTTCCTCAGTCCCGAACAATGAGGAACAGAGGTAGTATGATTGAAAATGTCAGGTTGTGGGAGGGATCCTGGTAATTGCTCAGCCAGAGTACTGCTGTGTTGCTGAGAAGCTATTTGGAGACAGGCCAGCCAAAAACATAGCTTGGAAATAATATGCCAGAGATTTTTATTGTGCTGTAAGGATTTCGTTTGCTTTTTAAATTGTATCTGAATGCCAATGGCTCCCAGGGAGCAGTTACTTCACCAAGCTCTACCGGTACAAGAAAGGTAAAACTTTGACATGATGCATTGTATGTCAGTTTCACATTGCCATACATCAAGAATTTCAGTGTGATAACAACCAACGAATTACAATGCAACAGGGGTGTCAATGCTATCAACTTGTGGACTGAACTGAGACAAAGGATGTTTAGCACATTATCTATGTTAATTGGCTTATCAATGTCAGGTTGTCTGTGTCATCAAAAGCTGTTTTTTGAATTACCACTGTTAAATGCGTAATTATCACTGCCTGTACTTTTCTGCATCTCATTTCCTTCTGACCTCAATTTCTACAACCCCACTCACCCAACACATGCCTGTGTGTGTGTGTGCGCGCACATGCACACACACACACACACACGCACGCACGCACGCACACACGTACATGCAGCTCTGCATAACACTTCATGCATCTGATGATGTAAAATCCAAGAAAGCCACAGTACATTTGTTAGTCTTTATGGTGCCTCAAGACTCTTAGTTGTTTTTCCTTCAAACAAATAAGAAGCCTACTTCTTGGGAAATGATAAATTATCTGGTCTCTGTGGATGCTTCCAGATGGGGACGTCATGCTATAAGTGGATCATTAAGATATTTCAAAGGTAAAAAGGTAAAGGACCCTGGACGGTTAAGTCCAGTCAAAGGTGACTATGGGGTTGTGGTGCTCATCTTGCTTTTCAGGTTGAGGGAGCGGGCGTTTGTCCACAGACAGCTTTCCGGGTCATGTGGCCAGCAGGACTAAACAGCTTCCTGCCACAGTGGTACTTGTTTATCTACTTGCACTGGTGTGCTTTTGAACTGCTAGGTTGGCAGGAGCTGGGACAGAGCAATGGGAACTCATTCCATTGCGCAGATTTGAACTGCCAACCTTCTGATCAGCAAGCCCAAGAGGCTCAGTGATTTAGGCAATGGGTTATTTTAAATGATAACATTTCCCCGAAAGAAGGAAATAGAGAGGCATTGTCTTGTGGAACAGAGAAGGGGTATTTTTTGTGCTGCTGCCATTAGGATCATAGAGTTGGAGGTGGATTGGGGAAGCTCTCTAGGTCATCTGGTCTGGTTTGCTCGGTTTTGTACAATAAATCCCTAAGTTGAGTATTTTTGGAGAAAGGCTGTAGATGGTAGAGCATCTATCTTGTATGAAGAAGGTCCCAGGTTCAATTCTTGGAACCTCCAGGTAGGGCTGTGAATGTCCCCATCTGAAACCCTGGTGACCAACTGGCAGTCAGAGTAGGCTAGCTGGACCAGCTTAATGGCATCTGCAGTCAAGAGTGTGCCATCTAGTGGGCTTCAGCCTGTGCCTGGCCATGCCAGTCTCTGGTGCATGCCAGCCTGGGTGCATGCAAGTGTTCCCAATCAGATCCCAACCTTTCATGAAGACTTGGTTTTCCTGGAAAATTGTGTCTAACCTTTATAGACTTGGTTAATTACTGTTTGGTACTCAACTCCAGCAGCAGCCCTCCCCTTTCAATTAATTCCTTCATTAACTCCTTTCCGGTCTCTGACGAGGGTGGGGTGGGGTGGAATGGTGTTTTTCCTCTTACTTTGAGACACGGGGGGGGGGGATTTGTAAAGTGTTTCGCTTTTGCATACAAAACGGTATTGAACTTGCTGTATGACAGGTGCAAAAAGACACAAGCTTGCTGTTCAATGGGGGGGTGTAAGGTTCCCAACTGGGTTTTGGCAGCAGCGATTGTCACAGAACAGCTCTTCTCTTCTAAGCCTGATCGCAGGCAGCCAATGGAATTAAGCACCCCGAGCAAAGAGCCGTTTAAAATTCTATGAGCATCTTAGCAACAACACGGAGTCCTGAAACAGGGTCACCCCGATTGACAGGCACATGGACATTTGCCTGTTTCCCACAATGCTTTTTTCCACACTATTGTATACTTGTGCTACTGCTAGGGGGCAACTGAGGTGAATCACGGAATTCCTCCTCCTTCGTGTGCCTAAAACCGTAAGTTCCCCCAAATCACGAACAATTACAGAGGCAAAAAGCTTCTCTCCCACACAAGGTGTTCTGCCAGGCATTTTACTACAGCAATAAGTCAGTTAGGAGAATACTGCCTGCTGTAATTTGTAAGTATCCTCACTTGAAACTCTGTGCTACTTCATCTGTTACAGAACACGATGTGCGTGTAACCATGTTAAATTAAAATGGAAGGTTTTGTCTGTTTAGATCAGAGCTCCCTGGCCTTCTTGAGGGCACCTTTGGAAGTTAAGAAACATGCATACCACAGAAATATGTATTTACACACAAAACAACCAACACCCCCCAAAAAACCCTTAATTTAAAAATAGGGAGGGGCAGGGAACCTTGGTGGATACCAAGGGGTGTGTCTTGGTAGCTACAGACACTATGTTGGAGACATGAGCTTTAGATTTTCACTACACACATTCACACTCCATAAGGATGTGGGGAAATTACATGTAGTTTTGGGTCTAAGGAGGTGGCCGATGTTTGTTGCTCATGCAATGTTATTTGTTGGAAGTTCAAGTTGGAAGTTCCGCCGCACAACCAGAAGTCCTTGCACTGCTGGGAAGTTAGTTGTATATCACCCAAACAGATGCATTACATACAATGTGATGTTGCAATTAACATCACATATCATGCATAAAACATATTGTGGAGGAGAGGCCTATCAATGGCCACTGGACATTACGCCTATGCTCTGCTTCCACAGTTGGAGGCAGCAATGTTTATGAGTACCAGTTGCTGGAAGCCACAGACGGGGAGAGTGCTCTTGTGCTTGGGTGTTGCTTGAGGTTTCCCCACAGACACCTGGTTTTTATTTTATTTATTTATTTGTTGAATTTATATACCGCCTTATACCTGGAGGTCTCAGGGCAGTTCGCAGAACAAAATCAAAATATAAAACCACAATACAGTGGTACCTCAGGTTAAGAACTTAATTCGTTCTGGAGGTCTGTTCTTAACCTGAAACTGTTATTAACCTGAAGCACCACTTTAGCTAATGGGGCCTCCCACTGCCACCGCACAATTTTTGTTCTCATCCTGAGGCAAAGTTCTTAACCCAAGGTACTATTTCTAGGTTAGCGGAGTCTGTAACCTGAAGCGTCTGTAACCCGAGGTACCACTGTATATATAATCAAAATAAAAACAACAACCCAATAACACCCCCAAAAGAATCACATTTTAAAAGGGCATAGGACATAGGTCGTCTACTGTGGACATAGGATTCTGGACTAGATGGGGCATTAGCCTGATCCACCAGGTTATTCTTATGTTCTATGGTTTGGCCTCACACATAAGGTAGCATGTATTCATCTTTCCCACAGGCAGCTGCTGGCTGAGCTCCAAAGAGAATATGGACTATCCAGAGATGTGGGTTGTCAGTTCTTTCTTGCCTCTTTTATTTTGTCTCTCCCTCTCATTAGTGATGTGGTAGCTTAAGTTAATCCCACCTCTGAGCGTAGCAGGCCAGGCATGGACCCTGACAAAGTGGAAGTTGTGAAATCCACCTACCTGCCACTAGAGAGATTTGGGCAGATGAGCTGAAAATTACTGTTAAGGTGACATGATGGCTGTTGACAACACAAGTGTACTGGAGGCAGTTGCTTCTGAACAGACTCCCGTTTAGTGGTAATACGCTTCTGCTGGGCAACAGGGACTCAGTGGAACTCTTAGATTAATGGATGTTGCCTGAGAAAAGTGAATAAGCAAGGCAGCTGAGTCTTGCCAATGTAATAAGGCCTGTCGAGTTTCCCCAGTGCCTTGCAAAGTTTTCTTTCCCAGTCCACAGAAACAGCATTTGGAGAATGGAGGGCTGTCTCTCTCTTAGACTCCCAGGACTATTGTTAGCGTGCAAAAAAAAAAAAAAAGAGGGGGGTGCAATTTGTCTTCCTAAGTTGCAAAGGCACGCTCTAAACAGCAGTTTGAGTGTTTCCAAAAGGTGAATAGGCTTACAGAATTCTTCCACCGATTCTATGTAATCATGTTAAATTTCACATTAGTCCATGAGCTGGGATGCTGCCCCCTCTCCCTGACTCATGACTGCGGTGATAATTAGGGGTGGGTTTCAAAAGGGATTTTGCATCTAGGGGGTCCCATGCTTTGAATGCTTTATGCCCAATATTGCAATGGGAGACATGTTAATCCTCCTGGTGGTTTCAGTGGAGTTTGGTTCCAGGCTAAATGAGTGAAGAGACCTGCTCGACTGCTGATAGGTGCCATTACTTGCCCCACTCCAAGGAAGCAGCAAAGGCAATGCTACCATTATTTATGTGTCAGGGCAGAAGCTGGCTTGGCTGCCTCCTTCCCCTCCTGATGAGGGCAGCAGCAGAGTGCCAGTTCAAGGCAGTGCAAAATTCTCATCACAGCATCTTCTGTTCTGGCACGTTCCCATCGTTATATATCAGGTGTCCATATGCCATTCACTTGCATGGATGGGGCCAGGATTGCCTAGATAAAACTGCCCTAGCACATTTATAGTGGGCTTGGATTAGTTGTGGACCTACCTTTGAACCGAAGTCTTTCGGGCAGGTTTGAATTGCATTTAGCTAGTAGAGGGTGGGACTGCTTAAAGATTCACTGCTGCAAAAGAATAAAATACAATGAACTGTGGTGGACCAAATTTTATCTCATGAAGATTTCTTGGGAGACATTCATAGCGGGAGAAAAGCCTCATTCCTCTGTGCCAATCTGCAAAGATTTTTTGGAGGGGTGGGGGGGCGGCAGATTGTGGCTTCAACCTTCTCCTCCTTCACCATATTATTTTAGCATCACTGGTGTTGCTTCCTGGAGTGATGCAAAAAGGGAAAGAAGCAAGCGGAGTAGCTATTCCCTCTTTTGCCACACAGGCATTTTAGGGTGGAATCATGCCATAAACTTCAGCAAAATGGAGAATAGGATCGATGGAAGTTAGATCAAAGTTTGCCGAGACTGGAAGCTTGCTCTTTAAAACAATGGGAGATTTCAGAGGCTGTCCACCTATGATTGAGAAGTGGTTAAAGACATTATTCCACCCACACATGCATGGAGAAAAACAAGATGTGAGTCAGCTAAGGATTGTGAGTGATTGTTTACAGTCTGATATGTGCTGCTTGATGTGATGGAGCTAATAAATGTTGGAGCTGTAGGTGATTTTCATGTTATGGAAGCAGCTGTGGGCAATTTCTAGGGAATGAAGTGACTACAAAAGGGCAACAGGTGGCAATTAACTCTTAGACCACCCTCTGGAGTAGGGATGGGGGAAGAAATTCAATTCAGTTTGCATTTAAAGGCAACTCTATCAAATTTCTGAAACAACACGAGAATGAAAACAAGCCATTCTTCAAAATTCACACTTATCTGAATGTTTTGATGCAGTTCTCTAACGAACCAATGTTTACAAAAATGCACATATATTAAAGAAAAGTGTGCACAAATGAATATAATAGTGAAAATAACGTGTAAAAATGCATATTAGGGCAACTTTTGGCAAAAATGCATGCATTTATTTATTATTTTAATTAATTACCTGCCCTTCACCCTTACGTGCCAGGGTGGGTTGCAGCAAATAATGTACAAAGTTAAAAACAACATAAAGTGACTTTCGATTGCAAACATAGGGTGGGTCGTAAATATGTGCACCTCAGGTGTCAAAAGCCAGGGTAAAGCAGTGTGTAGTTAAAACAGCATACAGGAAAAAAAAAGTTTTTATTAGGGGAAATTCACACTGAAATGCTATCAAATTTTCATGAGATTGTCTTTTTTAAAAAAATGCAAATTAATTGCTGCACAGGTGTGGAGAACTGAATTTAAGTTTGGAAAAATGAGAAACTGAGAGACCTGCTATTGACAGATACTTCCATCCTTACTCTGAAGTGTAAACTCAACTCTGTCCATGACAATCTTCATGAAGTATGGTCCACTATAGCTTTGGTCAAGCTAGATGGAATCATTCTTGAGCAAAGTTTGAAATCCCTTCTTCTTATAGGTAACTTCATTAAATGTTTCACTGCCAAAGCAATCCAAAGTGGGAGGAGGAAGGAAAACCCAAAGTTGAGGCACCACAAAACCCAAATCCCTGCTGGGCTTGTGGTGGAAGCAGGGGGCATTTCACCATTTGTTTTCCCTTATTTATGCCTAAATATGACAGGAACTATTAATTTAGCCTTCCTGCGGGGACAGCCCTGATACACAGTGTTGTAATTCCACATTTCACAATAGTTCCTTGACACCTGGGTGGGATGCTGGATCGGACAATGTTGGCACTTCTGCAGCCCAGAAAACCCCAGGATGTCTTAAGCCCTTTTGAAGACTGCCTCTTCAAAATGGATGCTGTTGAGTCCCTGTATATATTGATTGAACTGTAGCTGGAGAAAATGGGGAAGTAGGGGAAGGCGCATTGCTGTTTTTTGAGTTTCCAAAGCTGATCTCTTTTTCTTTTCTTTTCTTTTCCCAGGCCATCCTTTCCATCTCCCCGCCACCCTTTTAATTTTTTTTGCCTGTTATTTCCTTGTAAGTAACAGCACCGCAATCTTCGCCTGCCTTTCCTTTCAGTGCAGTCAGTCCCAGGCAATTAGCTGCTACAATCCCACCAGAGGGCTTGCAGATATCAGCACTCTCAAAGGCGAGGCGGATGCTTTTCAAAGCCGCTGTCGTCGTCAGAGGGGAAGAAAACAGGAGTGAAATTTCTGGCCTACTTGCCTGACAAGTAGAAATATGAAACAAACCTGAATCTTAACAACCTCGTAACTTTTTTTCATCTCTCCTTCGATGTCGGGATGTCAAAGACGACCACGAGGGTCCTGTTAATTGGCGCAGGCTCCACCAGCCGAACCTCCTCCTCTTCCTTCCTAGTTATTAGTGCTGCAGAAAGAAAAATTGCAGTCTTCAATTGCCTCAGCCACATAATACAAACCTGGTTGTGAAATATGAGGTGTTCAAAATCTGTCTTGGTTGTAAGGGCACATGATTTCCATATTAAGATGCCCTCTGTATATTTTAACATCCCTCCTTAAGGCCATCCTGACAGACAGCTCTGCAAACAATCCCGGGGACATTGGCTAATTGTACTAATCCGATTCAAATGAGCTTCTTTCTTTCCCACTTACCTCAGTGTGTTTCATCTACTTTTTAATTGGGTCACTGTTAAGTAGGCAACTTCAGACAAATTCTTCTGACAGACTTGCAGTCCATGTGAGTTTTCACCATCACGTTGGATCAAAGACATCGTCCCTGGAAAAGGGCTGGGGTTTTCTAACCAAGAGGCACTCATTTTGCTTGCCTGCACTGCCCAGCTTCCTGATATATGCTCCGCCACTTAGACTGCAATCTCACATGGATTTACTTGGGAGTGAACTCAATGGGAACATTTCTGAGCAGGCAAGCATAGGGTTGCACTGTTGGTGGCAGAGATAGAGTGAAGCTGTTTTATTAATGCTTTAGGCTGCAGTCCTAACCTTGGTGGCTCCTTGGCAGGGCTGGACAGGTGAGTCTGCTGCCTCATCCATAGCATGCAAAGTGGCCAGGGCAGAAGGTGGCGGCGGCACAGTGATCAGAGCCAGCTCTGCCAGTCTCTCTCTTCCCCATTAAAACATCCCATTTCCATTGCCCCAGCCAGTGGTATAAAACATCTGGAGGGCACAGGGCTAGGGAAGACTGACCTAGCTGGATTCAAGCAATCTTAAGTTTTTCCTGTGTCCATTTGGTGTTTACATCTGAAATGCATAGGACCCCAAACTAATTTCCTATAGGAACTTACTGGCACCAAGCAGCAATATTAGCAAAGGGTAGCAATGGAGCTATTACAAATTTGCTAGTTAGGCTTTTCCCTTCATTAGGGAGAGAGGCTTATTGAGGCTGCTGACCTTTAGCAAAGATACCTGGCATTTCCAGAAGGGGAGTGATCAGCTTTTGTGTGCAATTTGCATGAAACAATTGTTGTTGTTTAGTTGTTTAGTCGTGTCCAACTCTTCGTGACCCCATGGACCAGAGCACGCCAGGCACTCCTGTCTTCCACTGCCTCCCGCAGTTTGGTCAGACTCATGCTGGTAGCTTCGAGAACACTGTCCAACCATCTCGTCCTCTGTCGTCCCCTTCTCCTTGTGCCCTCAATCTTTCCCAACATCAGGGTCTTTTCCAGGAGTCTTCTCTTCTCATGAGGTGGCCAAAGTATTGGAGCCTCAGCTTCACGATCTGTCCTTCCAGTGAGCACTCAGGGCTGATTTCCTTAAGAATGGATATGTTTGATCTTCTTGCAGTCCATGGGACTCTCAAGAGTCTCCTCCAGCACCATAATTCAAAAGCATCAATTCTTTGGCGATCAGCCTTCTTTATGGTCCAGCTCTCACTTCCATATGTCACTACAGTGGTGCCCCACAAGACGAATGCCTCGCAAGATGAAAAACTCGCTAGACGAAAGAGTTTTCCGTTTTTTGAGTCGTTCCGCAAGACGAATTTCCCTATGGGCTTGCTTCGCAAGACGAAACGTCTTGCGAGTTCTTGCGAGTTTGTTTCCTTTTTCTTAAAGCCGCTAAGCCACTAAGCCGTTAATAGCCGCTAAGCCGCTAAGCCGTTAATAGCCGCTAAGCCGCTAATAGCCGCTAAGCTGCTAAGCCGCTAATAGCCATGCTTCGCAAGACGAAAAAACCGCAAGATGAAGAGACTCGTGGAACGGATTAATTTTGTCTTGCGAGGCACCACTGTACTGGGAAAACCATGGCTTTTACTATACGGACCTTTTTTGGCAAGGTGATGTCTCTGCTTTTTAAGATGTTGTCTAGGTTTGCCATCGCCTTTCTCCCAAGGAGCAGACGTCTTTTAATTTCGTGACTGCTGTCACCATCTGCAGTGATCATGGAGCCCAAGAAAGTAAAATTTCTCACTGCCCCCATTTCTTCCCCTTCTATTTGCCAGGAGGTGATGGGACCAGTGGCCATGATCTTCGTTTTTTTGATGTTGAGCTTCAGACCATATTTTGTGCTCTCCTCTTTCACCCTCATTAAAAGGTTCTTTAATTCCTCCTCACTTTCTGCCATCAAGGTTGTATCATCTGCATATCTGAGGTTGTTGATATTTCTTCCGACGATCTTAATTCTGGCTTGGGATTCATCCAGCCCAGCCTTTCGCATGATGAATTCTGCATATAAGTTAAATAAGCAGGGAGACAATATACAGCCTTGCCGTACTCCTTTCCCAATTTTGAACCAATCAGTTGTTCCATATCCAGTTCTAACTGTAGCTTCTTGTCCCACATAGAGATTTCTCAGGAGACAGATGAGGTGATCAGGCACTCCCATTCCTTTAAGAACTTGCCATAGTTTGCTGTGGTCAACACAGTCAAAGGCTTTTGCATAGTCAATGAAGCAGAAGTAGATGTCTTTCTGGAACTCTCTAGCTTTCTCCATAATCTAGCGCATGTTTGCAATTTGGTCTCTGGTTCCTCTGCCCCTTCGAAATCCAGCTTGCACTTCTGGGAGTTCTCGGTCCACATGCTGCTTAAGCCTGCCTTGTAGAATTTTAAGCATAACCTTGCTAGCGTGTGAAATGAGTGCAATTGTGCGGTAGTTGGAGCATTCTTTGGCACTGCCCTTCTTTGGGATTGGGATGTAGACTGATCTTCTCCAATCCTCTGGCCACTGCTGAGTTTTCCAAATTTGCTGGCATATTGAGTGTAGCACCTTAACAGCATCATCTTTTAAAATTTTAAATAGTTCAGCTGGAATATCATCACTTCCACTGGCCTTGTTATTAGCAGTGCTTTCTAAGGCCCATTTGACTTCACTCTCCAGGATGTCTGGCTCAAGGTCAGCAACCACACTACCTGGGGTATACGAGACATCCATTTCTTTCTGGTATAGTTCCTCTGTGTATTCTTGCCACCTCTTCTTGATGTCTTCTGCTTCTGTTAGGTCCTTTCCACTTTTGTCTTTTATTATGGCAATCTTTGTACAAAAAGTTCCTTTCATATCTCCAATTTTCTTGAACAGATCTCTGGTTTTTCCCATTCTATTGTTTTCCTCTATTTCTTTGCATTGCTCGTTTAAGAAGGCCTTCTTGTCTCTCCTTGCTATTTTTGGAAATCTGCATTCAATTTCCTGTATCTTTCACTATCTCCCTCGCATTTTGCTTGCCTTCTCTCCCCCGCTATTTGTAAGGCCTCGTTGGACAGCCACTTTGCTTTCTTGCATTTCCTTTTCATTGGGATGGTTTTAGTTGCTGCCTCCTGTATAATGTTACGAGCCTCCATCCATAGTTCTTCAGGCACTCTGTCCACCAAATCTAAATCCTTAAACCTGTTCCTCACTTCCACTGCGTATTCATAAGGGATTTGACTTAGATTGTATCTTACCGGCCCAGTGGTTTTCCTACTTTCTTCAGTTTAAGCTTGAATTTTGCTATAAGAAGCTGATGATCTGAGCCACAGTCAGCTCCAGGTCTTGTTTTTGCTGACTGTCTAGAGCTTCTCCATCTTTGGCTGCAGAGAATATAATCAATCTGATTTCGATGCTGCCCATCTGGTGATGTCCATGTGTAGAGTCGTCTCTTGTGTTGTTGGAAAAGAGTGTTTGTGATGACCAGCTTGTTCTCTTGGCAGAACTCTATTAGCCTTTGCCCTGCTTCGTTCTGAACTCCAAGGCCAAACTGAAACATGAAACAATACAGAATGCAATTTGTGTGAGACAAATCGGGGACAGACTAAAAACTAGAAATGAATCCAAGCAGCTTTCGGTTGCAGGTTTTTCTGGGCACATCCAATGTGTGTGCAAGAGAAGCAACGAGCTTAGCTAACAGTCCCTAAGAAAAACTCCTGCGCCGTGCACTGTGCACTCTATGTTTAGATAGCAGAATGCAAATGAAAGCAATTCCAGAATTTGTCATGACCTGACAGCAGTCCTTACATCGAGCTGCAGCAGAGAAGGGCCATCACCCACTGCTAAGAAACTAGGCTCCTTTATCCACCTGCTCTAACCTGGCCAAGCATCCATTATTACGTCAGGCTGCAGAAATGAAGAGATGGAATGCAGGGCTGCTCCTCTGGCGCATCTCAAAGACTAGCAGTGTTTTGTGCCTTAGAACCATAGAATTGTAGAGTTGGAAGCCCCCTGGGGGTCATCTAGTCCAACCCCCTGCAATGCAGGAATCTCAGCTAAAGCATCCATGACAGATGGCCATCCAACCTCTCCAATAAAGGAGGTTTTGACCTTTCCCATCCCAGCTGCCAATGCCATTCAAATAACTTTTAACTAAGAAATTGAGCCTGTGTTTTCTTATTTCCTCCTTCCTCACAACTTATTTTCCTTTTATGTTGTGGCTTTTTATATTGTAATCCTGAGGACAAGGACTATCCTCTCTCTTTTTTTAGTGATTTGTAAGTTGCTCTGGGAGTCTCTTTTTGGCTAACAAGCAGGATACACACACACAATTTAGTTGGTAGCTTTTCAGTTCATAGAAATTAGCTTTTCTAGCAATTCAATTGTGTTCTTTCTCCCTTTCTGCAGAGACATTAATGATGATAGAAGGGGCTTAGGATATATAAATCTAGGTTTAAAGAATATAGCTTTGTGGCTAAGGTATTAGTGATGGCTTCAAAAAAACTTCTTTTTCTCTCTCTCTCCCCTCCCCCCCCTTTTCAATTTTACCACAGGCTCTCAGAGTATTTTCACATGATTGAAGTTGTCCTCAAATTGACGCCACATAGAGACACTCTGGGATTGATTTTGTGCAGTGTATATTCAGTAAACATACCGCAAATGAACAGGAAAATATTGGTTGGATAGTGGGCGAGTGGCAAAGTCTGCTCCATAAAAATTGAATTTCAACCGTGCGCAAATACCCCCCTGTGACCACACACAAATTGCAGCTGCAGGCAGCATCTGTCGATGTAAGGAATGGACAAGCAAAAAAACCACAAAATAAAGCTGTTTCAGTTCACAAAACTTTCAATGTCTCATCATTTCCCCATTTCCTTTGAGAACTGTTTGAGTTTATGTCTGGTCTGATTAAAATTTTTTTAGTATGCTTTCTGCATGATCTGTTAGAGAAGGGTTGAGGAACCTGCAACCCTCCAGATGTTGCTAGATTAAAACTCCCACCATCCCTGAGCCTTGGCAATGCTGGCTGGGGCTGATGGGAGTTGGAATCTGAAAACATCTGGAGGTCCACAGGTTCATCATTCCTGCGCTAAATGTGGATATCACACAGCAATACAGAGTTAACCAAATGCAATTCCCCTCCCCCATGTATAACTGACCATTGTTAGACCATTATTAGACTAGAAACTATTTGTGACAATGGCTTAATACATGAACTCATCATAGAATCATAGAATTGTAGAGTTAGAAGGGACCCAGAGGGTCATTAGTCCAGCAGGAATCTCAACTAAAGCATCCATGACAGATGGCCATCCAACCTCTAATTAAAAACCTCCAAGGAAGGAGAGCCCACCACCTCTTGTGGGAATCTGTTCCACTCTCTAACAGCCCTTACTGTCAGAAAGTTCTTACTGTTGTTTATTCGGAATCTCCTTTCTTGTACCTTGAATCCATTGGTTCATATCCTACCCTCCAGAGCAGGAGAAAACAAGCTTGCTCCATCTTCCATGTGACAACCAGACCCATTTTCATTTCCCCACTTTTATGTAGTTATTGTTCCAGAACAGGGGTGGTAAACCCCCTAGATATTTGTTGGACGGCACCACTCATTAGGCCAAGCCACCATGAGCAAGGACGTTGGGATCTGTGGTCCTGAAACACTGGAAAGTTTACAGTTTCCTCAACTAGAATCATTGATTTCAAGGGTTGTGCTCTGAGTAAAACTGGCATGCCGCTTGTCATATTGGGGGAAAGGACTCTGTCAAATCATACAAAAGAGGGTCCCTTTTAATTCTACTGGATCTGACTTTTACCCAGACCCCACAAAAAGCAGAGTGTGTAAGTGAATACACATGTGTGTTTGTGAATGTGTGCTTTCTCTCTCCATGTGTCAGGCAGAGTGACCCAGGGGAGGGGAAGAGAAGCAGCCAGAGGTGTGGGCCCATTAAAGGTAAAGGGTAAAGGGACCCCTGACCATTAGGTACAGTCGTGGCCGACTCTGGGGTTGCGGCGCTCATCTTGCTTTATTGGCCGAGGGAGCCAGCGTACAGCTTCCGGGTCATGTGGACAGCATGACTAAGCACTCTCTCAAAATTCTAAACATGCCCATGGGCCCATAAAGATTAGCAATGTAGATAGTCCCTTTTTTGGTCAAGGATCTTAGACAAATTTCTATCCCTGATTTGCCTTTGAACAAATCAGAGGTTACTGAAAGTTCATGTGTTGCCATCCCAAGTTAAATAGGCCCAGGCAAGGTTTCAACCTCTAAACCTGTCATATTGGTCAGGTGAACAGCTTTCTCTCCCTATCATACCCACAACCATTTAGTTTAAAGAGTAGATTCTGCTATTATTGGAAGGGCGTCATCCTGATCATAATGTGCTCTCAGTTCTGTGTTCAGCTCACAGCTGTTATGCAAACTACACTCCCTCTCTGTTCTTGATTAGGATTCCTAGATTGGGGGGCACTCGCATATTGCCAGATAAAGAAATGCATCACCCCAGAGAAACAGGATGGGTGGGACAAAGGAGGATACATATTTGCGTGAAATATGCAGCGCTGAACAAAATTTATAAATGGTCCCTGGGATTTATATAGAAATACAGCACATCTCATCATCGTGGGGAAGTCTGGGACCACATCACCTGTGTGCCTGCTCAATCTGCTGCCCAGGGGCTAATGATGGTCGGGCCATTTCGGCATCTTATGATTCTTCTTTAAACCAGACCTGGGCTGGACAGCCCTTCAAATGGAGGACTACTTCAAACAGGGGACTGCCCTCTGTAAAGTAGGATGCATGGCACCCTAGCTTAGATTTCCGTTGTCTAGTTTTGAAAAGGCCTCACCAAGAACAAATGCACCCAGAAAAAAACGCAGGAAATGGGTCTTTTTTTGCTCCACAAAACTCTTGACACAATTGTCATTCCTCATGTGCATGCAGGAAGTACCCGTGACGTTGATTGGTTGAGTGTGTCAAAACCGTTCCTAATAGGCGTAATTAGCAAGCAACTCGTGATCCTTAATTTAGATTGATGGGGTGCTGTCATGGAATATTAGGATTACAATTGACCTACCTTGACAAGCTGTCCCTTTGACACTGTGCTCACCTGAAAGATTTACTGAACATTTGATTAACAGTTGAATCTTGACATACTTGTTCAGGTAAGCACACCAGAGTCTTTATCTCATCCTCTGTGTAAGGTGGATTTGATTCATAAAAGGTTCCTCCTATCATGGTGATTTCCCCCCACTATTATATCTCATGGTAGAGATCTTGCTTACTGGCTTTCATTACCCATGAGTCTTGTGCTCCCTGTACTTCTAGACTGAGCCCCTTATTGCTATCAGCTCTCAACTAAACCCTCTTTACTGAGTCAGCCCAAATTTACTCTCTAGTCTGAACTCCCTGTGGACTCACTAGCATCTACATGCAAACCGGAGTGCAAAGCAGAGGTCTCGGTGCCTAAGCTCTCTTGTAATTTAATGGCTTTTAGGAAACCGTGCAGTTGGGATGGAGAAACAAAAATAAAATCCGAGTCATCTTCTACTCTGCTGTTTCCCCCCTTATATGGTAGCTTCCCATGTCTCTGACTGGTGGACTGCAAGTCTAAGGACATAGGAAACTGCATTGCACTGAGTCAGATCACTGGGTTCGTCTCTCCCAGTCCTCCTTGGAGATGCCATGAATTGAACCTGAGACCTTCTACCTGCAAAGCAGATGTTTTACCACTGAGCTATAGCCCTTCATCCATCACCTGAGAAGAACAAGTTACTTAAACCAAGGAAGCAGCCAAGAATAACCTATTGGCTTCTTGCACCACATGGTCCCAGCTTTTCTTGTAGCTGCAACATTACCCTTGACATTCTGCAATGTAAGTTCTGAAGCACAGCAGAGAGCAAACAAGTAGCTCTATTCTCTGGCCAAGCTATCATGGCAGTGCAGAGAATACAGCCTCTAAATCCTACTGTTTGGGTTCCTAGACCTAGACTGATCCATGCAGCTTTACACAAACAGCAGAAGCTCCTTTTTATCATCTCTTCCCAATATGGCAAAAGATAGCACCCCTCCTCCCATGGAGTGGGAAGGGAATACCATAGCTGTCAAGTGTCCCTTATTTGAAGGGACAATCCCTTATTCCAGCGCCATGTCCCGCTGCTGTCCCTTATTGATGGATGTCCCTTAAATGTCCCTTAAATTTCAAAGGAAGCAGCTCCTCTCCCTCCCTCCCTGCCGGCCAGGGAGGAGGGAGGCTCCAACTGTGTTGCTTGGCTGTGTTGCTCACCCAATAAGAAGTCTAAGAACGATGGGGGGTGGAGCTTGCATGCCTTGTGTGTGGCTAGTTAATGCAAGCTGAGGGGTTTTTGAATGCTGGGCGCCATTTTGTTGCACGTGCTGCTGCAAACTTTGCAGTGCAAAGCCAGGCTGGGGAGCCATCTTAAGATGAGGCTGCATAGGCCTTGTGGTGCATGTGATTCAGATTCTATTCACTTGAACCTCTGGTTACAAAGTTGGTTGGACAGTGTTCTCGAAGCTATGAGCATGAGTTTGACCAGACTGCAGGAGAACAGGAAGACTGGAGTGCCTGGAACAGGTGAGGCTGCAGGTCCCTTATTTTGGCTGCTGGTCCCTTATTTTCAAGGCTGCTGGTCCCTTATTTTCAAATCTGTAAGTTGACAGCTATGGGGAATACAACCTTGGAAGAACTTGGGTGTAAAAATCATAGCATGGAAGCTAAAATCACTGGAATCTTCCACCAAAATATTTGTGGAAAACTTGGCTAATGTATCCTTATGCTAACTATATACCCATATAGAGGCATTACTACTGTCCTGGCTCCTGGCAGATGAAGAGCAACCCCTAAACAGGGTGCACAAAGGTGGTCTGTAATTGATTCTGCCCCACTTTCTCACAGATGCTTTGAAAGTGCCCTTAACCACAGCAGGATCTGGGGCTCTTCCCTTCCATTCTACAACCAACAACCAACAAACACACCTTTCATTCACTAGACCCAGCTGTAAAAGACCTCAAGCCCTGGCATGAGTGAATGAACTCCGAAAGAAGTGGGAAGCCAGCAGATCAGCTTGTGAGTACAAATTAGTTCAGTGTTTATTATTAAATAGCATGTTGTGTAGCTGATGTCTGGGGGTCCCAGTTACTCTCTTATTCTCTTGCCACATGTCTTTTTAAACCACACACTTTCCTTTCTAAGTGTCATCTCTAAAAACCATCAGGATGCAGCAGATGATGCCAGAAATAGTCATGCTTTTGTAAATCCAGCAAACCAAGAAGTGATTTTTTTTTTAAACTGGCTTTATTGAGTACATTACACAAGCCCTAGCAAAAACTGGCCTCTCTTCTAATGGCTCTATCATTTGTATTCCTTACCCAGCTCCAAATCCTCGTCAGCGTTGCTACAGATTCTGGTAGGCGCCTATTTATTTCCTTGCAATAATCTTAAAACTGTTTAACCCCCTCACGACTATCCCAAAAGCAATCCCTGAAAGCATTTGCATAGGAAGAGTGTATATCAGACTGACTTCTTCCAGAGATTCTTCTTACTGCTATTCCTTCATAGCCAGATTGTCATCTTGACAGTTTTCCCTTCACCATCTGCATGCCTGTCTTTCACTCCCCTTGTCCCTCTGGTCACATAATCCCCCATCCCGCCAGTGAATGATGGATGAGACACGTTCGAGCTCAACTCCAGGCTGCCAGGAGCCTTGAAGTGAAGAAGGAAAAACTATGAAAATGCCTCCCTCACTCAGAGCCAATGTGCATCTTACATGATAAACCCAAATGATGTGCTGGCAAACACTGCTGAGTGTGAACAGGAGAGGCCTGTCTTTAGACATAGTAGTGGAACATTCAATGCTCATGTTCTGGGAGCTGCGATTAGGGATGGGTAGATTTGACAGTTCATGTTTCTCCCCATTTTGTATTTTTCCATGCTTACGTCCAGCTTTTCACATTTCCACATCAGTATGCGGAATTTTTGTTTTAAAGTAGCCATCATGAAAATTCAAATTTCTCCTAATATATGGACAATTTTGTATGCAATTTTGCCTAACATGCATGGTTTTGTGAAGTATTTTTCTCTGATATATTTTCATGAATATATGCATTTTTATGCACATTTTACTGGGGTATATTTCTGTACACATTGCTTCACTGGAGTCCTGAACTACAAAATTCAGAGAATTGTGGATTTCAAAGGATATGTATTTCAGTTTGCAAAGTAATTTCTTTTAAAGTGCTCATTAGGTACTTTTGCATTTAAAAGCAAACTGGGGGCTTATCTACAATTACATTTTGCCCCACTTTTTCCAGGCACAGATCTGTGTCCAAGTGCCTCCCCGTTTTTGTCCCAAAGCTTTCCCTGCAAAAACCCACTCTTTGAAGTGCAACAAAGAACTCTGTTCCTTTGAATGATGAGTGTCACCTACAGGGAGCCAACTGTGCATTCCTGGTCTCCTGTTTTCTCCATGTTCGAACACCACGTTTTACTGATTTCCTTTTCCTTTTCCTTTTCCTTTTCCTTTCTTTATTTACAAAAATGTTTTAACGGTTTTCCTCCATGGCAATGCCTGTGGATTTACACCATTTATCCCTACGCATGCTTAGATGTTCTGTTGTACTCACACGACCAGCTAGCAAGTATCTTCCACCTTCCTGAAAAGCCGAAAAATGTTTGGGATAGGTATCTGATCATAACTACCATGTTTGCACATTTTTTTAGTATTTTAAGCAAAATTGGCTGGACAGTACAGGAGGTTAATAAAAAACTATGCTTGAAACCCCCAAAATTCTGTGCCCCTGAAGGACCAGGTGTACAGCCTGGGTGTCATTTTGGACTCACTGCTGTCCATGGAGGCACAGGTGAATTCTGTATCCAGGGCAGCTGTCTACCAGCTCCATCTGGTATGCAGGCTGAGACCCTACCTGCCCGCGGACTGTCTCGCCAGAATGGTGCATGCTCTGGTTATCTCCTGCTTGGACTACTGCAGTGCGCTCTACGTGGGGCTACCTTTGAAGGTGACCTGGAAACTACAACTAATCCAGAATGCAGCAGCCAGACTGGTGACTGGGAGCGGCCGCCGAGACCATATAACACCGGTCCTGAGAGACCTACATTGGCTCCCAGTACATTTCCGAGCACAATTCAAAGTGTTGGTGTTGACCTTTAAAGCCCTAAACGGCCTTGGCCCAGTATACCTGAAGGAGCATCTCCACCCCCATCATTCTGCCCGGACGCTGAGATCCAGCACCGAGGGCCTTCTGGCGGTTCCCTCGCTGCAAGAAGCAAAGTTTCAGGGAACCAGGCAGAGGGCCTTTTCGGTAGTGGTGCCCACCCTGTGGAACGCCCTCCCATCAGATGTCAAACAGATAAATAACTACCTGACATTTAGAAGACATCTGAAGGCAGCCCTGTTCAGGGAAGTTTTTATGTGTGACATTTTAATGTACGTATTTTTAATCTTTGTTGGAAGCTGCCCAGAGTGGCTGGGTAAGCCTAGCCAGATGGGCGGGGTACAAATATATTATTATTATTATTATTATTATAAAAAAATCCTGCACAACTGTACCTTCTATATCTGTTTATCCTAGTCTTTCCCCATTGTTTCTATTGGAGCCAAAGCATATATACCATCATAACATGCGGTAAAATTGCTCTCCCAAAGACCATTAACCAGCAGGTCTCCAGAATTTCACACAGAGATTTTGCCTGGTCCTATCTGGAGACGTCAGGGATTTAACCTGGGACTTTCTGAATGCTCTACAGCCCTTTTCAATACGTGCTTTTTTCCTCACAGAAGACAGAGTGCAACCTGGAGGAAGAAGGAACAATTCATCCATGGGCACTTGGTGCTGAAATACAGATAACAAGGATGGGTGTCCGTTCCATGTCACTCCCTACTCCACAGGTTCAAACTCAGTTCCCCATGATCCAGCTACTGCAGAGGCAATTAGTGTTGGAACTGGGCAAAAGGTTAGTAAAGCAGAGGCTGGGAAGGGCAAATGGGCAGAATAAATCAGCTCATTGCCCTCGAGGAAAGCTAAAGATCACTCTCACGCTGGATGCAGAATGTTGGCTGTCATTTACGTTGTAAATATATGGAAATGTGTGAAGATCTACTGTTTGATCTGAAAACATGCCCTTTAACAAATGCATCCCTTGCAGAGAGAAAACAAGTAGTGCTGTTTTGGATAGCACTGTAATAACGACAACACATATACTAATAAGACGCCCACACATCCAAGCACACACATCCCCAAAATGTGCAGATGCTTTTATGACACTTACCAAGCTCTGACGCACTTGGTTTCTCTAATGTTTGAAGATTTAGAATTCACAGATTTGCAGAAGTATTACACCATGGCCAGAAATGGGAGATGGTGCCATGTTAGGAAACATCATGGGATTGGACAAGACAGATACAACCTTTGTATTTTGTAACTGGTTTAACCAGCCTCCTTGGTCAGAGTGGCGTAATAGCTAGAGTGGTTCTTTTGATTTTAAATTTAAACCATCTGTTTATGTTAAGGGTGCTGTTGATCAGGGTCAATTCATATTTTTGTTGTAAATATTATCTATGAGTGAACCTCCAGTGAAAGAGAAAAGAAGGGTAGATTGTCACACATCTTTTCCCTTGAATGACATTTGGGACAGAGGAAGGGTGTGGCTCCTGACAGGTCATGGATACAGGCTGTGATCACATTCTCGGCTTTCTGGTTGATACTTCAATTCCTTACCCAATTCACACACACAAAAATTCAAAACTCAAAACATTGTAGTACAGTAATACCTCCTTAGGTTCATGTTGTGTCTTTTCGGCTTGCAAATGCGGCAAACCCGGAAATGTATACTTCAGGGTTTTACCACATGTGTGAACTGCTCTAACCCACTGTGCGCATGCGCAGAAGCAGTGCTCTAGTTACGGACTTTTCGGGGTGCGAATGGCATCCCAGAATGGACTGAGTCTGTAACTAGAGGTACCACTGTACTGTCAAGGAGTTGTTCAAGGCAGCCCTGGTTCATCCTTGATTGCATTGGGTCCACAAGTTGGAGTGGTCCAGGCTATAAAAAAAAGAGCAGTCCAATGGTGAGGAGAGGAAGAATTAGGCTGCCTGCATCTCCTTCTTCCCCCACCATGTATAATCAGGGGTTTAGCCCTAATTAAACATGTACAAAGCCCCTGATTTGGATTAAGGCCTGGATCCAGGTCAGATTGAGTCAGTCTCAAATTATCTTAGGTTGAATTGGGGCTGTTCTGAACAACTGGATTGGGCCCTGAATCAGACTGCAAGGGGCATGCAGAGCCCTTGTATTTAATATTATATGGATAGCGTCATGATGCTGTTTCATCACTAGGTGGCACTGGACTTAGTTGTATCTACCCAGATACAAGTGTTTCTTGTTGATCTTATGTTCTTTGTTAAAATTATTGTCCAGCTTTCTGACTGACACTCTCTCTTGAATCCTGGTGAATCCTGGAAGACCTGCTCCCTGCCTCGCAGGTCCTTTTCTATATGGACTGGGAGGGCAGGGCCCTGACTGACTCCAGCTATGAAAGCTGAGGCTGCTGAAGAGGCTGTTTCTCAGTGCGGACCCAGGTCACTGAGGCTGAGCTTCCACAGCTGCCTCCCGCCATGTACCACCCTTGGCAGCAACAGCAGCAGATATACTGTATTCTAAGCTTATGATAATATTTTATTCTCTTGCTAATTATAGTGCTTTAAATGTGCATTTTATATTTTACTTCCTTTACGTTTTCTTTTGAAAATTTTAAGAATTTTTTAAAACTTTGCTGTGTCAAATGTGCATTCTGTAGTTGACCTCCTTTGTAATGTTTTTATTTTGACATCTTTAAGATAATAGTTTCCTGTTAATTATGTTGCTTTGAATGTATACTTTATATTTGACTTTCTTCAGTAATGTTTTATTCTAGATGGTTTTATCTGATGTTTTAATGTAGGTTACTTTGAGTTTTTTTCTTAAAAATATATAGTGGTATAGAAATGAAATGAATAATAATATAAGTAGGAGTGGTGAGTGTTAAAACCAGGCATTTCCTTTTGCCATTTCAGAAACCTTCTCTGCTGGCTAATTCAGGACCATTGAAGTCAAGTGAAAAGCAAAGAAATGAAAATCTGTCTCCCTTCAAAAGCAGCCCTGTGTCTGAATGGTGGTAATTGGTCCAAATGTCACCATTGCACAGGCCTAAGGTGACGTGATGTCTCCTGGTTCCATTGTGAGTATGAAAGGCAACACATTATTTCTAGGTAAATGAACAGCTGCATTTATCCATTCACAAAATGGCAGTTCCTCTCCTTTTACCTCCTACTGCTACCATTTCTAGAGACCTATAGACCAGGGCAATCAGTTGCTGTCATGGACCAGCTGGATGCAGGGGAGAGTTGAGAAGCACCAGCTGAGGAACTCCTAAGGGAACACAAAGAGAAGAAGGCTCAGAGCCAGGGGAGTGGTGGTGGAATGATGATGGATAGTCAGAGGGAGAAGAGGAAGCAGACTGGGAGGAGGAGGTGTTGGAAACTGAAGAGGTAACAGGGTTTAGTGAGCAGAAAGAGGCTGTGGCAGAGAGCAGTCCAGAATCAGAGAGAGAAGTGGAGGCTGGAGAGGAGGGGGCCAAGAGGCAGCAATGAGTCAGGCTGGTGAGGAAACAAGGCATACTCCCCCTTCTGCTGAGACCAGCTCTCCTCCCTGCTGGTCTCCCAGGATCAGAAGAGGGCAGAGCAAAAAGACAGGCAAGACGAAGGAGCCTCAGATTGCTTGGGAAGGAACCGAGGGAGGAGGAGACTTAGGGAGCCATGGGAAGGCAGGGAATCTTCAGTCCTTGCAGCTGCCTCATTGGGGCAAGAACTATGCAAACGAGTTGCTGTGCTCAATAGGCCTGGTTTCCTGAGCCGAAGCCCTGTGTCTTATTGCTAACCTGCTCCTGGCACCTACTCCTGGCAGTTGGGTTTTTTTTTAAAAAAAAATGCATTAAAAATTGCATTTCAATTCTATGCATTTCCCCCTAAAATACACCTTTTTGTACGCATTATACCCAATAAATTCTCATTGCAGAACTGCAGAGATGGTCTTATTGCTTTTAGCTTACCGAGTTCATCACGTTTTGTATTTTCTTCCATTTTTATCTCATGGTACGCTGCTTTGGTAGCTGATGGCTGTGAAGCAGTTTACAACTCTGCACAATAAATAAATACCTACAAAGACTGCCTCCAAAAAAACTTATAGAAGTGTGAAATCTGGTGGATAACTGCATTCTGGCCTAGGAATTAGTCTGAAAGTTGCAAATCAGGTCAGCTCACTTGAAAGTGCGGACTGAACAAAAATTTCCGACACTATTTCCAACAAAGGCATCATTTCTTTTCAGGCACCAGAGGCTGGTGCTAGTAGTAGCTGAGCAAAGTGCAAAGGATTCACAACCGAAGAGCTACTCCTCTGAATAAGCTGATGATCCATCACTGGGTTTGCAAAATAAATAGCTATCTCTTTGTAATTTCCTGTATAAATGCCAGCAGCTGTGGGAATGCTGAACTTTCCTGAGCCCTTTAATCACATTTCCTTTTTAGTCACTGGCGCTGATGTGTGTAGGTGCCATGAATATATTCCCCGCTGTCAGCATGGAGACAGAGCAGAAAGACCCCTTGTTTGTTTGTCCAGATATTCATATACATCTGAACCAATGTATGATCTAATTGACGGATCTTCGGTTGAGGGGGCCGGAGGTGGATCACCCCCAACGGCATCTGCACTACTCTTTCTTTCCGAGAAGGAGAGGCGTCAAGAAGCTGTGTTGGGTTTGGTGGGTCACAGTTGCGCAGGCAGTGCTACCATCAAGCTTTAAGCATCCCTGGATATTGTCCCAGTGCAGTAATTGTAGAGAGCCTTTTTCAGTCTAAGAGCCACATTCCCTTTGGGCAACCATGGGGTGGGGGGTGGGGAGCTGAGCAACAGCCAGTGTGCAGGAACGTCTCCCCCCTTTTGCTGAACATGGTAGGAGCCAGAGTGCTCCTCCAAGTGTTGCCACTCACTAGGCTTTTCTCCCTCTCAGTAGTGAAAGCAGTGCACTTCTGCAATCTGAGGTGGGTGCTTCACCTTGTGTCATGGGTAAGCTGGCTCTGACGTCCTCTTCTTTTGCAAGCCAGTACTAATTTCCCCTTCCTTCCTTCCTTCCTTCCTTCCTTCCTTCTGCTTCACCTTCCTTCCCTTTTACAGTGGTGCCTCGCAAGACGAAATTAATTCGTTCTGCGAGTTTTTTCGTCTTGCGAATTTTTCGTCTTGCGAAGCACGGTTTCCCAAAGTCTTCAAAATCACCAAAGTCTTCAAAAACCTCAAAAAAGGCTACCACACCGCGTGCTATGAGTTGCTCCTCAAAGTCACCCTGGGTATTAACGGTTTTAAGAAAAAGGAAACAAACTTGCAAGACGTTTTCGTTTTTTTCGTTTTTCGTCTTGCGAAGCAAGCCCATAGGGAAATTCGTCTTGCGAAGCAACTCAAAAAACGAAAAACTCTTTCGTCTTGCGAGTTTTTCGTCTTGCGAGGCATTCGTCTTGCGAGTTTTTCGTCTTGCGAGGCATTCGTCTTGCGAGGTACCACTGTATTCCAGATTTTTGTCCTTCTCCTTTCCAGTGGAACTGTCCACATCTACCACATTTAATTGTTTCCCGGGGAATATCAGTAAATTCACTACACACACACCAGCAAGCACACACCACCACAGCAAAGTATCTATGTGTTGTGTGCTGTTAATATTTGAGCTGGGTGATTTTATTTCTATATTTTCATTGTCTGGAAAGGCTGTAATTTGGAAACACACATATGATCTTTTGTGGGCGTGGTCCCATGAATGCCTACTCATATACAAAAAAGAAGGTGGTTGAAGATATCAAAATATTTCCTTCTATAGCTATTCCTATGTTATATAATGGGTGTGTGTGTTGTTTTTTTCACTCGAGTATGAATTTCTCCATCGGGAATAACATTAGAATGAGGATGGTATATATATAAGCAGCCTGCTGCTCTGTAATCAGAATTGAGCAAACAAAGGGGGGGGGGGGAGAAAAGATGTTAGCATAATGTGTGTCTTGCCACATTTTTACAGAAAAGTGGTCTTTCATATCCCTTGGAATGAGGCAGCATAAAAACATAAACAAAAACACATTTTCTCTCTCCTTTTGTTTCCTCTTGCTCCTTTCCTCCAGCCTCCCTACTACTGCCCATCTAGCATCTCTTTGATTGTGCTCAGCTTCACTCATATTTCTCTTTTGCTATAGGGAGAGGCATTTATTCTGTTCATGCATTTTTCAGCTGCTTTATTACCATCAGTTCAGCGACAGGATCACCTTTCTTCTTCTCCTCCTCCTCCTCCTTCCACCACACTGCCCTCGCCCCCCCAGTTCTGGGTTCGTTAGTCACATGAGTGGCACTGGCAATTACGACAAGCCCACTCAGTATTCTGCTGGCCACTTTGCTCCTTGCCCGCTCCCACTGGTCACCCCTTCCGTGCCTGCTGTGCGTTTGCGGAGCAATCGTTACATTAGAAAACGAAGCCCTGCCTGCCAGTTCCTATTCCTGGAAAGCAAGAGTGACAGCTTGGTTTGGAGGCAGAGCGGTGAAACACGGTCCCTCTTTCCCCTTGGTGCTACAGCAGATGCGCCAGCTGTCATGTCAGAAATGTCCCAGGTCCTGAGCTGCAAGGTGCATGCTGGGATTCTACATTGCTGAGCATTTAGAAGCGCTGAAGAGGGTCACTAGAGAACTTTGCTGAGTGGGCCCCCTCCGTTTCATTAAATCCCAAGCATTCTTGAAAATGTGCCGCTTTGACGTGTTCATAAATGCAGGATCCAAATGATAAGCTTCTGCTGCTGTGCCGTGCGTGCGAACACAGCCAGGTATTGTGGCTTGGTGAATGCAGTCCCAGGTCCCGCTGTCAGTATTTTGTGGGAGGGATTCAGGAGCAAGCCATAACTTTAGCTTTGCACAATTAAAGTGGATTAGGGCTCTCTGTCACCTTGGTGCAACAAATTAAGGTTTGCTTGCTTGCTTGTTTTGTCAAATCTTTTTTATTAAGTTTTACATTGCAAATTTAAATTCAATCATTAAACATCAACATCATCATTTGGGATTCCCTGAAACCTTTGACTCCCCTCTGCTCTTCCATGGTTACCACTATCAATCTTTCTTCAACTGCTTCTCTTATTTTCTCTATTTTTCTTAAATAATCTATTTTTACCATAATTTTTAGTACATTGCAAGCGTTACTCAATGCTTGTTTGTTTATTTTGAAATGGCTTTTTGAAGTCAGGAAAGCGATGGGAGAAAGTACTGAAAAGTGTGAGGTAAATGAATAATGGGGCAGGGAAACTGTGTAAACAACATGGAAGCAAATCAGGATGAACGTTCATTATCATATAATCTCCCCACAAACAAAGAACAGATATAGCCTAACCTCCCTATAAACTTTGTCCAAGCAGATTATGATGAATTCTCAGTTAAATAGGCTGTCTGGAGGAGTTAACAGGAAGAAGGCCATGGCTATAGGTTTATCAAACCATTAAATGTGCGGCCAAATCCTGAATAATGAGCTCTGCTCACATTAGTGGATCATGCTGTGGTCAGGCCTATGCTAAAAAAAATGTATGTATGTGTGTGTGTGTGTGTGTGTGTGTGTATATATATATATATATATATATATATATATATATATATATAATTGGAATGTATTTCTAAGCTTTAAGCTGGTTTTGCACCTCACTAGCCTTTGAATTATAAATGAATAAATAAATAACAGATTCAGGTAGGTAGCCGTGTTGGTCTCACACAGTCGAAATAAATAATTAAATAAAATTGTCCAGTAGCACCTTAGAGACCAACTAAGTTTGTTCTAGGTATAAGCTTTCGTATCTGAAGAAGTGTGCATGCACACGAAAGCTTATACCCAGAACAAACTTAGTTGGTCTCTAAGGTGCTACTGGACAATTTTTTTATTTAAATAAATAACATTAACACTCAGCTACTGGAGACTTAATTCTGATCAAGCACATATTTCTTGGCACAATCATATTCACAGGTTATACCAGGGGATGGGGAGATGAGCCACCACTATGCTGGAACAATGCTTCCTATACGCAATGCATACCGTGCCCAGGAGGGGAGCACATACAGCATAGAAAATCCACAACCAATGAAGAATGATAGAACTCTGCAAATGTCTTTGGAAACACTGTCAGAAATCACCGAAGAGGGACCATGCTCCTTTTCTGAAAATCTTCCTATTACTTTGCATGCCAGAAACAGAAGATGTTGCAGAAAGCTGCTGCCTGAGTCTCCTATATCCACCACTGTCTCTTCCTCCTGCTCATTGGGATTCTCAGCTTCATGTGGTTCTCTGAATCTCGCCCTTACAGTCTATTAGTCGTCCCCCCCCCGCCCCCTGGCCTAATTATGATTTATTACCTGCACTGTGCGACACAGGCAAGGAAAACAACTTCCAGGCTGACACGATGCTCCGTTTTTTTCCACCCCATATCCCTGCGTTCAGTTATTAATTCTGAGTAATTTATTTTGATGAAACCAAGAGTGACTCTCCCCCGCCTTTAACCTTTGGTATAAGTCACCTCCATGAGAACACAATTGGGGGGAAGTATAAGTGGGGCCTGCAAGAAACTAGCAAGTGGGTCCTCACCTCCTAGGAAGCGTGTTCCTATTCAGTCCTGCCCTGCTCCAGAACATTATGTGCTGAAAGGTGCTCACACCAATGGCGGAGGAACGGGGGGGGAGGTGAGGGGAGCGCACCACCCCCAGCACCATTGGGGAGGGGGGTACAAATCGCGGCCGCCCCCCTGGACACTCGCCGTGCACCCCCACTGCGCCGGACACTATGCCCCCAGGACACACGCCACACCCCCGTGGCAGCATGCCACACCTCCAGAATGCACGCCATGCCCCCACCTGCTCTCCGCCCCCCAGTGCTGGAGCATGCAGCTTCGTCACTGGCTCACACAGACCATTTTACTTCCCTCACTCCCAGGTTATGTTCACATTAGCAGTAAGGCAATTCCCTCCACTGTGTTGCCAAGTCACTTTTCGCTGTCACTGTTCACTCCAGAGCTGGGGCAGAGATGGCTTCACCCAAAGAGTTCTTTTCCTCAGAGCCGTAGCTAGGTGATCTTGCGCCCCTGGCAGAACTGTCCAGATTGCGCCCGTTAGCCACAGACAAATTAACTTTCTTTCCACCTCTCTTCCAACACTCCCCTCCTCCATCCATTCAATTCACCCTCTATTAAAAACCATTTCTTAGGAGGCAATAATCAATATTTATATTTATGGACATATATTTTAGCCGATTTTGTGGCCCCCCCAATCGCCTGCACTGCTGGTGGGGGCCCACCTTACCACCCCCTAGCTATGACCCTGCTTTTCCTGTGCCAAACTTCAATTCAGTTAAGCTTTTGTTTGTACATGCGCTGACGTCTGCTGAGGGACAGTGAGTCCACTATTAGAGAGAGTGATTATTACACGGTTGTGGCGTTTGCCCGTTATTTTGAAAATGTCTGTACAGGGGGAGAGAAAGAGTTAATAGGTAGACCAATAGAAAAGCCAGAGGTGGATCCTACCTGTTTATAAAAGGGCTTAGCCTGAGATTTAGTTAGCTGGTTGCTTGGTTGGTTGGTTGGTTGGTTGCTTGCTTGCTTGCTTGCTTGGTAAAAGGCAGTTGGGAAAGCAGTTGGCAGACAAATGGAAATAGAGAGACAGGAGACAGTTAGTGCAGTTGGTTCTTGTGTGAGGGGAGGTAAAAGAGTTAGAGACAGAATAAAATAAGACTAAGAGGGTAAAGGGTAACAGTGTTTTGGATGCATTTAAAGTTTATTTGTGTTTGCAATAAACTACAACCTTCATTGTTAACTTAAGAACCTGACTGAGACTAAGTGATTTACCGGGGAGGACCTGGCTGGTGGCAGCGGATTAGTGGTGTACGGGTCAATAGTCTGTGAGATGACCAGGGGCTCCGTATGAGCGCCACAACGATCTACAGCCATGTGTCTATGCAGTCCAGTTAAGGGTGTCCCTACTGACTTGAGAGAGAAGCAGCAATTGGTCTTGCCAGTGGGGCAAGCTTGGGCCACATCCACACCAGACCTTTAAGGCATATTGCTTCCCTCTGCCATCCCCATCCTGGGAATGGTGGTTTGTTAAGGGTACTGGGAATTGCAGCTCTGAGGGGCAAATTACACTTCCCAGGGGTGGAATTCAAAGTAAAAAATGGTAAAAGACCCCTGGACAGTTAAGTCCAGCCAAAGGCGACTATGGGATTGTGGCGCTCATCTCGCTTTCAGGCCAAGGGAGCCGGTGTTTGTCCACAGAAATCTTTCCAGGTCATGTGGCTAGCATGACGAAACTGCTTCTGGAGGAACAGAACACTGTGATGGAAACCAGAGTGCACGGAAACGCCATTTACCTTTCCGTTGCAGTGGTACCTATTTATTTACTTGCACTGGCGTGCTTTTGAACTGCCAGGTTGGCAGGAGCTGGGACAGTGCAGCGGGAGCTCACCCCGTCGCAGGGATTCAAACCGCCAACCTTCTGAAGGGCAAGCCCAAGAGACTTAGTGGATGATTATTATTATTATTATTTTAAATATTTTTTTATTAATTTTCACAATTAAACATTATTATCTCATAAGTATAAAAGAATAAACCACACAAAATAAAAAAATAGAAAATAGAAAATAAAACATTTTCTCACCATAATAAATTCATATTTTGGGATTACTTAGATCCCTTGACTTCCTCCCACTCCCTCCCCCTGGTTCTTTTGTATTATCTTAATTTATACATGTCAATAATTTCCTTATCTTTAATTGTTTCTGAATTTAAACATTCTCCTTAATATTACAAGTGGTTTTTTAAAAACCTGTTACTGTATTAACTTCCTTACAATGTTTTTGTAAATATACAATTGTCAGGGGTTCAGGGACAGAGGCACAGGGTAGGCAGGAGATGGAGAGCGATGGGGATGAATCCCAGGACAGCGAGGAAGAGGATGACAATGACTCAAGAGATTCCATGAGTCTTTCCAGCGAATCAGAGGATTCCCAGAAGGGGGCGCCGGTGGTCAAGGCCAGGGGAGCCCCAGGGGGGACGTGTCAGGAGCAGGGGGCCAGCGGGACATCCCAAAGTGGCAGCTGGGCGTCAGGACCAGCCTCCCCGCCAGAGTGCAGCGAAGGGGGTGGAGGTTTCAGTGTATCAGGGGAAGCGGCTCCGGCAGCAGAGAAAGGAGGGAGGTCGGAGCAAGCCACCCTCCCGGAAGGGGAGGGGAGTAGTGAAGGGAGTAGTGTAGCTGTTGAAAGGAAGGTTAGAGGTTGGGCGCGCTCGACAAGGTCTCATGTCGTGGCGCGCCGATTTCCAGGGAGCCGGGAGGAGGGGCCTGGTCCCAAAGCCCGAAGGAGGGGGATAGAGCAGTCTGATTCCGCGTCAGAGGAATCCAGGAGGGGCGAAACCCCAGCGGGCAGAAGGACCCTGCGGAAAAGGAAAGAGAGAAAGAGGTGGAGCAGCGCAAGCCTCTTAAACTGGTGCAGGGGAGGGACGGATTCAGAGGGGACTTCAGCGGTCTAAGCGTAGCAGACGTAGGGCTGCGCGCCTAGGATGTCAAGCAAACAATGAACTGCAATAAACACTTTTGTATATAAGAAGAGACAGGCGTTGGTCTTTTGTGAGCTGAGACTTGAGGCAGCCCTGACAGTAAGTCCCCTCTCTAAAACCGCAAAATTTTTTTTTTTGCAAAGCTCACGAAGTTTGGCAGACATGACTACTGAGGAGCAGATAACGACCCTGCAAAACGCAGTCGCTGAACTCTCCGTTGCAGTACGGGTCTCTCAGAAGACAGTTGCCGACGCAGAAGCGCGATGCCAGGATCTGCAAGCCAGGTGGGATCGGGCGTGCAAAGAGGGGTTCCCGGGGTCCAGATCAGAGGGAATCGGACTCAGACGGAGGGGGGGCAATTTAGTAGCCCACTTCGATGGGAACCTGAAGCATTATCCCAATTTCAGAGCAGACGTCGTATACGCGCTGCATTTGCTTCGAAAAGACTTCAAAGATGAGGAGGAGAAAGTAGGCTTTATTGTGTCCCATTTGCATGGGGAAGCTAGAACCTGGTTACGCAATTTGTGGCGCGAAGATGGTCTTGCACGCAGGGACTCTGACGAATTTATCAAAGCCATGGACGCTTGCTTCCAATCTACCGTTGACGTTGATGTGGCGCGCCAGGAGATGCATGGATTGCGGCAGGGCAAGGCTACAGTGCGTCAGTACCATTCTCGCTTTTTTGCATTGCTGAATGTGCTGGGCTGGGAAAAGGACTCCCTGGCAGTGAGGGACTTGTTCTGGCAGGGGCTTCATGGCTCAGTAAAAGATGAGCTGGCTAGGGAGACAGACCTCAAACCCTAGCAGACGTCGTGCAGAGGGCACTCACGATAGGGGTGCGCCACGAAGAACGCCCTTGGCACAGTGAGGAGGGGCGTCACGTCCGCCCACCAGCTAGAGCGCCTCCTTTTCTTCCCAGGGACCTGGGACGTACAAACCCCTCGCCTATGCTGAAGGGGGGGGAGGAACCAATGGAGCTGGGTGGTGCAAAGGCTCAGACAGCTGCCGGAGCCTCAGCGTCCGGAGCAGTCAAGGCGAAGCCTCCTAGAGGGACCAGGAAGTGTTACATCTGTGACAGTGCACAGCACATGGCTAAAGAGTGTCCCCAGAGGCTCCAGAAGCACACTGCAGCCTTAGCAACAGTAACAGGGAAGCGTTCCAAGGAGAACAGTTTCAGGGAAACGAGAATGCCTGGCTGGAAGCAGAGATGCTGGGGCTCCGCCAGGCAAGTCAGTGAAGCAGTCCCCAGCGCTTTTGCAGCCTACAGACCCCTTACCACCCAAGCCAGTGGTGCAGCTCACTGCTACTCTCCAGCTACCTAATGGACTCACCCTGGAAGTCCCCATTACGATTGACTCAGGGAGCAACGCAGACTTCGTGGGGATGCAGTTCATCAAGCAGCATCGCATAGCGCTACTACCAGCCACGCTGCCTCTGAACGTCGTCACGGTAGATGGCAGGAAGTTGCTGGGTGGGCAAGTGGTACAACAGACGCCACCCATGCTGCTGAAAATTGGGAATCATCGCGAGGTCATCAGTTTCAATGTCACCCAACTGTCAGACACGCCCATAGTGTTAGGCATGAGTTGGCTGGATAGACACAGCCCATCATTAGCGTGGTACCAGCGGCAGCTCACCTTTGGCTCGTCCTACTGCGCACAACATTGCATCCAGACCGGCCAGGAGGAGGAGGGCCAGGAGGAAGGGCAACAGTTGCATCTAGGCATGGTGCAGGCAGTGCCCCACAAGTACAAGTGGTTTTGGAGGTCTTCTGCGAAAAGGAAGCTGACCAATTACCACCCCACCGGCCCTACGACTGTGCAATTGACCTCTTACCAGGGGCGACGCTGCCGACTGCGAAGCTGTATTCCATGTCTGAAGATGAGATGCAGGAACTCAGGGAGTTCATAGATCACAATTTGAAGCGGGGATTCATCCGAGAATCCAAGGCAGTGGGGGGCAGTCCTGTGTTTTTCGTGAAGAAGAAAGACACGCCCCAAAAACGGCTCATTGTGGACTATAGGGCCATAAACTCGATGACAAAGCCCAAGGCCTTCCCCATGCCCAAGATTGACGACCTGCTCGCGACGGTGAGGAAGGGGAGGATCTTCACCAAGTTGGATCTACGCGGAGCATACAATCTAATACGCATGAGGGAAGGTGACGAGTGGAAGACGGCCATGTTCACGCCGCTGGGCACCTATGAATACAGAGTTATGCCGTTTGGTCTCCAAAATGGCTCCCACTGTTTCCAAGCATTCATGCACCACGTGCTAGCAGGACTCCTCTACAAGAAGTGCGTATGCTTTCTCGACGACATTCTGATCTTCTCAGAATCGCAGGAGACTCACGAGAGAGACGTAAAGGAGGTCCTGCAGAGGCTACGGGAGCACAGACTCTACGCCAAACTGGAGAAGTGCCAGTTCGACGTGACGGAGGTGGATTTCCTGGGCTACCGGCTGTCCGACAAGGGACTAGCCATGGACAGCGCCAAAGTCCGCGCGGTGTTGGACTGGAATAGCCCGCGCAATCGGAAGGAGGTCCAGAGGTTCGTCGGCTTCGCCAACTTTTACCGCAAGTTCATCAGGGGTTTCGCGAAAGAGACGGCAGCTATCACGGACACCCTCAGTTCCAAGAAGAAAAGTTCACCTGGACGGACCAGGCGGAGCAGTCCTTCAGGAGACTTAAGAGTCTCTTCGCGTCCGAAGACCAGCTGCTACACGTGAATCCCGGCAGGCCCATGCGGGTTGAGACTGACGCATCTGACAGAGCAGTGGGGGCCGTCCTCTTGCAGGAAGATCCGCAAGGGAACTGGAGGCCCTGCGCTTTCTATTCCCGGAAGCTCAGCAAGTCGGAACAGAACTACACCATCTGGGACAGGGAGTTGTTGGCCATCCACGCGGCTTTCAAGGCGTGGCGGCACTTCCTCATCGGAGCCAAGCACACCGTGCAGGTCCGCACGGACCACAAGAACCTAGAGTATTGGCGCACGGCGAAGCTCCAGAGCCAGAGGCACATGAGATGGGCGGAGTTCTTTGCGGATTTCGATTTCCGGATAGAGT